GCAGTGGTTGTTTTGTGAGGCTTGACCCCTGCCATCAGATCATGCAATTCCAGACCAGCGCAGGCTTTGGTGGGCAAAGTTTAACGTACCGCTGTGCTCGGTACGGTCCGCCCTGCCCTCAGATATCACCTGACCTTTAGCGCGGCCGCTGCCATCGGCCGGAGGTTATATCTGTCAAGGGCAAACAGCGAACGCCTAAAGCGACTCGAAACCACCCCGCCACGGGTGGATGGATCGGGAGGCAGGCGCTCTAGCCAGCCGAACCATCGGGGCGAATAACCGCGCGGGTTGCCGTGGTGGGGGGTGTCTTTCCATTTTCAATCGCTGGCTCGTCTACTGCTCCATCGGTCCGTATGCAGTAGGAGGGCCCTCACTGGTGACCTGTCGGGCGCTTCTTCACCAGTGCTGGTGCTGTCTGATGTTCCAGTGAGCCGGCCCGCGGCGGCTTCCTCACCAGCGACCTGTCGGGCGTACGTTACGTGGTGCTGGTGCTGTCCAGCCGCGGTCAGCTGCGCCTGATTCGGCTGGAGCCGGGCGCCGACGGCTCTCAGCACGTGCGCGGCCTGGTCAGCACGCTACCCGGCCGCGACGCCGTTCCCATAGCGGTCAGTGGAGCGGCCCTGCCGCCGTCTTTCTCGGCCGAACCTCGGTCGCCTGTGACAGCCGGCTATAGTGGCGGCTGTGACCAGCTCAGTGCACGCTGTTGCGTTTCCGTTTTGTGGCAGGTTCTGCGGCCGGAACGAGTGCGGGGGACGTCACGCGGCGGGGAGGAACGTGGCCCGCGTCGTCTGCGGCAGGTTACTGACTGTCAGACGTTAGGCTATGGCTTTACCACACTCAATTTCAGGCAATGCAATGGCTTCTCGGCTTGAATTTAATGTCGGCCAACGTTGCCGGCAGTTGCGCCGCATAACACTGCCCTCCCCCATCCGCCGGCCCTTTAGCTGCAAGCAAGTGATGGATGGTCTGACCTGAACCCTACAGTCATATCGTAGAAGTCATTCATTCTAATATAAACTTCAATAATTGCGGATACATCATTCAAATGGCCCTCCTCAACGTGTTATATGCGATCATGAACCTGGTGGTTAGCCCACCCACGTTTGCGTGGAACCCAGTCTTTCCACATGTAGCTCGTAGGTGTATCAGCTGATGCGTGCTGATTATGCCTTTGTGCTCGCACGGACGTACATTCCTCGAGTTTCTCCTGTTATCATCGCACGACCCAGCAACAATCGTGTCAATTTACACTCCGGACCGAAGCCCTCCAATGTACAAAAATATTCTCGCCACCACTCGACGTTTTACCTTGCTCGTCTGTTGTGCTGCCAAGGTAACGTTAGTGTTAAAAAAAGATGGTTTTGGAGAGGTAGCACAGAAAGTTCCACTCAATCTCGCAACAAGAAGTTGGGGAAGTGATCAGCCATCAGGTTGTCATCACACCGTCATCGAAGTCCTCGTCCGTAGCATCACACTTGGAGCATTCCATATCTGCAGAAGTAGCATGGCCGCCTTGGCGCCAAAGATGAAGCAACGTCACCCAATTTGGCGTGACGTCATACTTCAGTCAAACGTCTAGGACCGCTGACCTGCTGCAGGGAGCGGACTGAACCGCAATCTAATAAACATGGCCCTACTGTTATGGTGTTACGGCTTGGTAGCGCCCGAGGTTCGTTACATGAGGAGCCTCAATTAACCAATCTCGTGTATCCGCAGACAAATGCTTGAGTGCTTGGTTGTCGAAGGGGTTCACAAACGGGATATGTGGTAAATATCTCGTGTTTGGCAGATCCCCGTGTCTCGTGCATCTTGTGCACCGCCCGTTCCGTTTCCGTCCACATCGCGCTGTGACCGCCCAGAACATCACGAGCATGCGTTTGCACAGCGTGACCGACGCCTCCCACTACAGGTGACCAACACGATGCTCGTGGTAGACCAGTCGGCGTCGCTGGTGCTCTACAGTGGCCTGTTCCGGCTGTGTAAGGTTCACGTGCCGGGCATACCGCCGCCTGCGCTCAGCCTCAGCTTGACACTACCGCCCAGCCTGCCGGGCTCGCCATTCTGCCCTCCACGGTACATGTGGGATCTGTCGCGGTGCGAAGTTCACCATTTCTCCTCCGCGGACATGGGGATCTATCGTGGTGCGAATAACATTGCCCATGTGGTGCGAAGCCCACTATTGCTACTCCGCAGCATATGTGGGATCTATCGTGGTGCGAAGCCCACCATGGCTCCTCCGCGGTACATGTGGGATCTTATATTATCCCGGGTCGCCGCTCGTTCCTCTGCTATTAGTACATGGATCCCCTGATCTGTCTGGCTTGCCGTTCTGCTTGTGTTAGCGCGTCGCCGTTACTGTCGACCTGACCCGCCCTCTCCCCCCCCCCCCCCCTCCCCTAGTAGTGGTCAGACAGTCGCGTAATTGTAGATACAACAAAATGGCGGTTGACTCATCGCGGTGTTGCTTCACCGAGGCATGACGGTTTTCTTTCGTTTCTTCTTCTTTAGGTGGTATTCGATCTGATGTAGGGATACCGTTAGTATAGTGATTAAGCTGCACGTCTGGGAAACCAGAGGTATGGGGTTCGATTCCCCGCTGTCCCCGCCCTCCCTGCCAGGGTGAGGGGCAGGCGACACAGTCTAGCCTCAGTAGCTGAGTGCGTCGCAAAGCGCCGACGGCACGTGGACGCAGTCCGATGGCCATGTGTTGCCTGCTCGGTGCGCGGCGAGTGACCACCGGTGCCGGGCCGCCAGGAGGAGCAGTCTGGTGGCGAGCGGCCGACCCGGGCCGGGCCTGGAGGCGCGCTTCGATGACGCCCTGTCGCTGACGCTGTCCCCGGTGCGGCCCGAGCCGGAGCTCCGCGACCCGTCGCCGCACAAGTAAGCCTCGATTGGCCGGCGTAAGCTGCTGGCGGACCAGCACCAATCGGTTGGTGCTGGCCGCTGGTGAGCCCCAGTCGGCGGGCTCAGGGTGCTGGTGGGCCTGATTGATAAGTGTTGTGTGCTGGCGGGCCCTGATTGGTCATCGCTGTGTGCTGGTGGGCCCTGATTGGCCAGTGCTGTGTGCTGATGGGCCTTGATTGGTCATCGCTGTGTGCTGGTGGGCCCTGATTGGTCAGTGCTGTGTGCTGGTGGGCGGCGTCCAGCCAGTTGCCGAATGTCCGGGGTCACGCTCAGTGCTAGTCATTCTCATGCACCTTCCGTGTTTGGCCGACGAATACGTAGCTGATATGACAGGTACTCTACTGGGGGTTGGGCATGCATCGCACGCTTAGCATGCGCGTGATGAGCTTCCTGCTGTACGACGACTGTGGGGTGTATGTAAATACTAGACTGCACCCTGTCGTCCAGCTTTCTGGCGATGTGATCCATGTCATCAAAACGGCCACTACCAGCCGGGGGCATACCAGCACACTGTTCTTTGGATCCCCTGGGGGGCTATTGTCACGTTTACTGGCCAGTTCAGAGGCACTGGTGAGGACTTGGGTCACCGTTTCGTTGGGCCGTCCGGAGCTGATGTGAAGCTGCGGCGGCAGGTTCGACAGCGCGGTCCAGCAGGAGGACGCCACCATGCCGCTGTCGGGAGCCGTGGCGGCTTTGCGTGACGTAGTGGGAGACGCCGTTATCATGGTGGGTATTTCACAGTCAAGAACTTCACCGTCATCTTGTCCTTTTATTGGTGAATATTTGACCACGTTTTTCATGAAGCCACCGGAATATGAAGCTCAGTACATGTGTTAACGGCCATAATCCACACAATTCATGAATCTTTGATCACTTTTTTGCATAAAACGACTGGGATAGGAAGCTCAGTGCATGTATTAACGGCCCAGCAATCAAACTATCCTCGTGCCAAGGCTTCCGTGCTGCGTCTGGCCAATCGCTCGCCGTTGAGAGAGCGCAGTCCGTGCTCCGTAATGCCGACTGAGCTGCGGTAACGGGACGGCGACTGTCCGTGGCCAGGAGCACACCTCCGGCTGCCTGTACCGGTTCCGGGTGCCGGCTCCGGCCGACGCCGGCACCGTGGCCGCCTGTCTGCGGGCGGCGCGCGCCGTGCTGCCGCGCGAGCTGGCCAATCAGCTGACGGCGCGCTGGTACACCGCGCGCCACGCGCCCGGCGCGCGCCACTTGCCGCCGGCCAAACAGTGGCGCGCGTTCGCCGCCACCCTGCTTCGTGAGTGTCGGCCGGGGGAGGTGGCGGCGGCGCTGCTGCCGGAAAGGCACCGCTTCACGGACAGTGATGGCAGTTCACTGGTTTTGCCGGTTTGCCAGTTACTGGTTACAGTTACGGATATGAGGATGGCAAACCAGCTGTCAGTCAGAAGCCGGGGACGTTCCCAGCCTGTGCATATATTCATGTGATCACAGCAATTCACGTGAGCTATGTTATGGTGTTTTGGTAGATATTTCGGGCCTCTCGTCGCGCTAACGGACATGACCGGTTTGGTCGGTGCAGTGAATACTTCGTGGCTGTGATTGGTGTGGTTGACCCGGTGCGCCGGCAGTGTCATTCGCTGTTAAGTTGTGAGGCCTGTTTGTGGCTGTTGTGCTGGCCACACCACCTGGCCAGACATGTGACTGGTGTGCGGGTCTCTGTTCAGTAATGTGGTGAGCCACACGTATGACGTATGACTGGTGTGCGGTTCTCTGTTCAATAGTGTGGCCGGCCACATGTATAACTGGTGTGCGGGTCTCTGTTCAGTAATGTGGCCGGCCACATGTGCGACTGGTGTGTGGGTCTCTGTTCAGTAATGTGGCCGGCCACACATGTGACTGGTGTGCGGTTCTCTGTTCAGTAATATGGCCGGCCACACATGTGACTGGTGTGTAGGTATCTGTTCAGTAGTGTGGCCGGTCACATGTGTGACTGGTGTGCGGGTGCCTGTCCACTAGTGTGGCCGTCCATACGTGTAGCTGATGTACGGGTTTCTGTTCAGTAGTGTGGCCGGTCACACATGTGACTGATGCATCGCTCACTGGGCGGCCTGTCGCCAGGCATGATGGGGTACCAGGTGGAGCGACTGGCCATAGCCGCCCTGCTTGACGTCGCCGGGCCCAGCGTCTCGCACCAGCGCGGCAAACGGTGCCGATCTGAGGACGGCACGGACGAGGTAAGCCGGTCCAGATCCTGCCAAATATACACATGCCCGCTCTCAGCGTATTGCAACTGAATGTATATGTACCAACTTAAATAAGCATGCTTGCTGCCATTCAATTGTGTTGTGTTTTCGTATGAAATGCGTAGCCACACCAGTGTTTCCATCAGCGGCACACATGAGCCCACGCGTGTTTTACGGACGATAGCTTGTTTATGAATGTTTTGTGGAAGGAGGTCTTGCTGTCCTCTATCGATTGTACACCTGCCAGCCGAGCCATCTGATGCTTGATGGCAGCTGCTGCCCTCACGCGCGTGCGTGTACCTGCTGCCAGGATTGGGAGTTTTTGTTGTCGTCTGAATACCACGCCGAGGTGGAGGCTGAGGGGCGCGCGGCGACGTCCGTTGCCACGGCCACTGTCGAAGGCCGGGTGGATGCCACTGCGCCACTGTCCCCGCACATGGCCACCCTGCTGTTTGTGCTGCACCTGGTGTATGAGGTGAGGACCGCGCCTCGGTCTGTGACACGCACAATCGGGTTATCTTGGCGTGACTCTCGTCTGGTACTGCAGACGTTGCAGTCGTGTGATGCAGGTAGTTGTATTATTAGTGATTATTTGACCGCTTTATGGCCAAGTGCTTCAGCATCACAAGCTGTGTGTGCGCGACAAGTCCGTTAGAAGCATAGCAGAACTGCAGACTGTGAGCCGGCCGCCTGGTGGCAGGACTGCAAGCTGGACACGCTGAGCGCGGACGTCCTGCCGGACATGGCGGCGGTGCTGCAGCAGCTGGCGCTGGAGCTGGGGTGGGCGCCATACGCCGACCACTACTGGCGAGACTGGCCGGGCCAGTGTCAGGCCGGCGCCGACCTCGCCAGCCGCCTCAGCGTGCAGGTGAGGCGGTAGTCGTCCTGCGTCCGGCTCGGTCCGCCCCCAAGTCTGTCAGCGCTTGTCGTTGGCGCGGCGGTCGACTGGGTCGACAGATCTTGTTGCGTCTTAGGTGGTGAGGAAGCGGGACGGCTGCGGAGACACCGTGCTGATGTCCTGGTGTGCCTGCGACGAGATTGCTGCGAGGTTAAGCCATTGGTGATCCGTGCAGTGCAGCTCAAGAGCGATGCAGGCAAGTCGTCAAGATCATTGCTGCCATCGAATACAGACGTGACCTCCTCGTGGCGTCGCCTGCCGTGACCCGACTGTGTGGCGTGGGCTAAGTGCCGCTGGTTTCGCCGGAGGCCGATACGCCGGCGGCGCTGGTTCAACAGCGGGACGCCTGACGTCGCCGGTCTGACCCGGCCGGTGTGTCACCGGCAGGACCGGGCGGCCGTGCAGCCGGCCGGCTTCGTATCCGTCCGTCCGCCGGACCTGCTGCTGTGCCTGGAGGGAGCCGCCGTCCCGGCCGCCTACCCGTATCTGGTCGGCGTCAACGAGCTGTCGGTGCACATGATCATGGTGGGTGCTCGGCGGCCGGCGGTGGGGGCAGCTGGCCAGCCGTGGTTCCGCGCCGCTGGGCGACTTGTGAATGGAGTGCTGATGGGGATTGGCTTGAGCTGCGGCATCGCATACGCCCGGCAGTAATGTCTGGCAGAAATGGGGGACGGTACATGAGTGTCTGGAAGGAGTACACGTCCGTCTGGGGTGCGGTACCTGTCCGTCTGTGAGTGTGAGAGGGGGGGGGGGAGACCGTGGGTCTGGGAGGCCGTACGTGTTTGCTTGCGAGGCAGAAGGCAAGTCGGGGACGGGTGGCACGTACGCTACGCACCTAAGAATTAGTTGACGGCTGTCTGTGGGGAGTGGCGCACGCACGAGTGCACCGGATGTCACACGAGTATGGGAGGTGGCACACCAGTACCTGGGGGTGGTGCACGGGTGCTTGTGTACAGTATTGGGGTGTCTGGGAGACGGTGCACCGGCGTCTCACACACGTGTGTGTTGAGGTTGGTACAGGAGTATTCGGGAGGCTCGACGCCAGTGGTTTTGGTACGCGGTCAGAGCATTCAGGTGGTAGGGTATACGGATGTCTGATAGGCGATACACGTACGTCAGGAAGCCGCACATCCGGGGGACGGCACACGCGCCTGGAAGACGGTACATGGGGGCATTGAACGCGTCTGGAAGACGCTACATTGCTGTCAGGGAGCAGCACATTACATTGCATTGCACGGGGCAGTACACGCGTCTGGGAGACGGTGCATACGGGGGCAGTACAAGCATCTGGGAGGCAGTGTGATGTAGAGGCTGGGCGGCTGTATATGAGTGTCTGACACGTGGTACAGGAGTGTTTGGGAGTCCGTAGGCAGGTGTCTGGGGGCGGCACCGCTGTCTGGGAGACATGCCGAGTGTCTGGGGGCGCTGCACGAAAGTCTGGGATTTGGTTCGCGAATAGCATCCAGGAGGCGCTCCACGCGGTTATGACGGTCGGTACCGAGTGTCCCAAAGTCAATGCGCGAACGCTTGGAAGGCGGTACACGAGTGTCCGGGAGGCAGTACACGCATAGGGGAGCGTGCGCATATCCGCAAATGATACCGATGGGTGTGCCTTGGAGATGGTGCCTTAGCTGGCGCGGTTCACGTGGGCGTTTGCGTGAACGTCTGGCTGTCGAGCAGGTGTACGCGCTGCTGCGCGGTGAGCGGTCGGAGGGCCTGTCGCGGCTGCTGCGGACCGTACCCGGCCCGGCTGCGGGTCCCTCCGGCCTGGAGCAGACGGTGCGGCAGCTGCTGGCCCAACAGCAGCCGCCGCCGCCGCTGCCCGGCCAGCCGGACCAGCTGCCGGACGAGCAGCAGCTGGTCGTCCGGCTGCTGGACAAGCTAGGTACGTGCTCGGTGCGCCGCCTCTGGCCTACAAGCTAGGTACATGCTCGGTGCGCCGGCTCTGGCCTGCAAGCCAGGTACGTGCTCGGTGCGCCGACTCTGGCCTGCTAGGTACATGCGCGCCGGCTCTGGCCTGCAAGCTAGGTGCGTGCTCGGTGCGCCGGCTGTGGCCTGCAAGCTAGGTGCGTGCTCGGTGCGCCGGCTCTGGCCCGCAAGCTAGGTACGTGCTCGGTGCGCCGGCTCTGGCCTACAAGCTAGGTACGTGCTCGGTGCGCTGGCTCTGGCCCGCAAGCTAGGTACGTGCTCGGTGCACCGGCTCTGGCCTGCTAGGTGCGTGCTCGGTGCGCCGGCTCTGGCCTGCTAGGTACGTGCTCGGTGCGCCGGCTCTGGCCCGCAAGCTAGGTACGTGCTCGGTGCGCCGGCTGTGGCCTGCTAGGTACGTGCTCGGTGCGCTGGCTCTGGCCTGCTAGGTACGTGCTCGGTGCGCCGGCTCTGGCCCGCAAGCTAGGTGCGTGCTCGGTGCGCTGGCTCTGGCCCGCAAGCTAGGTACGTGCTCGGTGCACCGGCTCTGGCCTGCTAGGTACGTGCTCGGTGCACCGGCTCTGGCCTGCTAGGTACGTGCTCGGTGCGCCGGCTCTGGCCCGCAAGCTAGGTACGTGCTCGGTGCGCCGGCTGTGGCCTGCTAGGTACGTGCTCGGTGCGCCGGCTCTGGCCTGCTAGGTACGTGCTCGGTGCGCCGGCTCTGGCCCGCAAGCTAGGTACGTGCTCGGTGCGCTGGCTCTGGCCCGCAAACTAGGTACGTGCTCGGTGCACCGGCTCTGGCCTGCTAGGTACGTGCTCGGTGCACCAGCTCTGGCCTGCTAGGTACGTGCTCGGTGCGCCGGCTCTGGCCCGCAAGCTAGGTACGTGCTCGGTGCGCCGGCTCTGCCCTGCAAGCGATATCACTAGCATCTCCGGCTGTTGCCGGCCACTGGTCATTAACGTCTGCTTTTGCCTACTAGCCATCACTGAACTGGAACATATCTGATCCAGAGCGTGCAGCGTCCTGACGGACACCGCCAGGCTTCCAGTGCACTCGATTCTCACCTGAGAATGTCACGACGGACGGATACGAGTGCAGCGTTTGGTCTGACATTTCGCCGTGACGGCTGCTTGAATATCGCACTGGTGCCACTCCTGCAAATTACTGATAGTGGCTTCGCATAGATGTCTGCCGACAGGCCGTGGCACTGTTTTGAAGCTTGGCATGCCGGGTTGGGGTGGAGGGCCCAACCCCGCGTTGACGCGTATGTGTTGACGCAAGACGTGCGCTGCGAAGGTGGGCTGCGTGCGGCGGCTGAGTGGGTGCGGTGTCTGCCGACCGGCAGGGTACGGATGGTCCCGGCTGCAGCTGCTGCCGCCGGGCGTACGGCTGCCGCTGCTGCGGGCCGTGCTGCTGGTGCGCGCCGCCCCGCCGGCCGACTGCGCCGACTCGCTGTGCCGCCTGGTGGGCCGCGAGGAGCTGACGGGCCAGCCGGCGGCCGCCGCCCGGCCGACGGCGCCGGCCGCGGCGGCGGAGCTCGAGCCCGAGTGCGCCGACGGCCAGCCGGCCGGCTCCGAGTCCGCCGACGACGGTGAGTCGGTCAGCTGGGCGAGCGCGGTGCAGGTGGCCGCGTCGGCCTCGGCCGCTCTCTGGCAGGGGAACGGGGCTGGCAGCGGCCGGACGCTCACCAGCTATCGGCCAGTCCGGCAGGCCGCCAGTGGATCGACGCCGAGCTGGTGCGGCTGCGCTGGCCGGCTGACCACCGGCTGGAGGAGGCGCAGCAGCTGCTGCGGTCCAGTCGGCCCGTCTGCGTGGCGGCGCCGCCGCGGCCCGAGCTCTCCGACCACGAGCGGCAGGACGAGCAGAAGCGGCTGCTGTACGCGCTGTGCCAGCGCACCATGGCGCTGCCGGCGGGCCGTGGCATGCTAAGCCTGCACGCCGCCGCGCCGGTGGTGACGCAGCCGCTAGCCGTACCGCCGCTCTGCCTGACGGGCCGCGCCCCGCCGCGCGGCGCCACCGTCGACCTGGCCGACATGGACCTGCCCGTCAACATGAATGTGTGGCCCCACTTCCACAACGGCGTGGCGGCTGGGCTGCGCGTGGCCCCGGACGCCGCACAGATCGACGCCGCCTGGATCCTCTACAACCGGCCCAAGGTGGGGATGAGGGTGGAGCGGACATGCGTGGGCGTAACGGCTACAACTGGACAGTTGGGATGAAGTGGCGTGTTGGGTCCAATGACTTGTGAAAGCGCTAGTATCCGCAGTTAGTTTCGAATGCTGTTATAAATGACGTGTAGTTGAGAATGAATGACTGAACGCGTCAGAGGTTTGTTGACATTTACGTTAAGTGAACGACGCGACATGTACGTGATTTCCGCTACTCTTAAGATTTACAGGATGTTCATGGGGAACACCGATAGTTATTTCACTAGAGGACGTGAAATGCGTAGATTTGAAATTTTGGGCTGGCTTGCAGCATGCTTTTGAACTACTTGCACGTAAGTGCCTGCAAAAATCTTCACAATATTGCTATAATTCCCATAGTGTGATGCGAACGTCGCGATTGCATGAATGTCGGTCTTTGGGTAGACGTGGCGCCGCGGCTTCCTGCGAGCTCTTTGTTCTACGAGCTGTTGTCCAGCTAGTACCGGTCGTCGGTCCCCCCCCCCCCCCCCCCCTGACTTTGGCAATACGCCCGTGCCCAGCCAGTGTATAGAGGGGTGACGTCTTCGCCGGCGGGCCGGGGTGGGGTGTGGTGTGTGCCGGTGTACAGAGGAGTGACGTCTCCGCCGGCGGGCCGGGGTGGGGTGTGGTGTGTGCCGGTGTACAGAGGGGTAACGTCTCTGCCGGTGGGCCGAGGTGGGTTGTGGTGTGTGCCGGTGTACAGAAGGGTTACGTCTCCGCCGACGGGTCGGAGTGGGATGTGGTGTGTGCCGGTGTACAGAGGGGTTGGCGTCTTCGCCGGCGGGCCGGAAGTTGGACTGGGGTTTGAGCCGGGGAGCGCCACCGTATATCCGCCTGTGGCCAGACGAGCGCGGAGAACCCGGTGGAGCACGCCGGCTTCCTGATGGCGCTGGGCCTGAACGGTCACCTGGCCCACCTAGCTCGGCTCAACGTGCACGACTACCTGATCAAGGGCAACGAGATGACCTCCGTGGGCGTGTTGCTCGGCCTGGCCGCCTGCAAGCGAGGTGGGTGGCCGGTGGGCCTGGTGGGGTCGCCGCGGCATCGGCGGCCGTCGACACGCCGCTGCTCCGGCCCGGGCCTCGTGATGCTCTGGTACCGCGCGGGCTGGCAGAAGGCGGAACGCGAGTGGACGCACGCGTTGTGATCGTTACTGCACTGCTAACGGCTTGAACTCCGAGTATGTACATGTGGGAGATATATGATGAGCGTGTGTGGTCTCTATATGCCCCATGCCCGTTCCCCTGTCCGTGTTATCCGTCACGCCTTGCAGTGAGTTGTGGAGGATGCCGTGGCTCTGCGGATACGTGGATTGCTCTGCCTTGCTGTGGGGACACGGTTGGATTTGGATCCCAGTGAGAATTGAACTTGTCTGTCTGTGGTTTTGAACAAGACCAGAACACTTCTCTGGTCACGTGCAGGCACCATGGACGTCAACACGACCAAGCTGCTTAGCATTCACGTGGAGTCGCTGCTGCCGCCCACCAGCCGAGAGCTCGACATAGCCCACTCCATACAGGTGCGCGCGCGTGCAAGGCGGTGGCACTCTCCTGGCGAACTGCCGCGCGGCAGGAAATGCCGAGCATCCGCGTCACCGCTCTGAAGGCTTCCTCTAACGTGCTTCTGAGTGCACGGCTGTGGTGTGTGCGTGAGGACACGTGAACATATGAGCGTTTAGAGAGCTGTGATATAAAACATTAGGCTGTGAAAGGTTTAGGATTCAGTTTTAGGGTTCAGTTTTAGTGGTCTGAGCCGCGTTTTTCACGTCCTCTCCCGTCTTCGCTTCAGTGTGTGTGGGGAGGGGCGGGGGGAAATTAATCGATGAATGTCCGGACCGCCGCATCGTTGCCGCTTAGAACAGGCTGACAGCGAGTGGCTGGTATTGCTTATGCACCGAGGATATACGAAGGGATGTTACAGGTTTTATGGATTGCGTTCATTCTTTATTTATGAATTGCAGTCGTAAGACTACGCGAACGTGGCATATCTGTCGTCGATCCAGCACCGCGAGTACATTTAACGCCCGCATTAAATGCGATCACCGTCCTCTGCACCAAGGCCTTAACACTGTTCTCTCTGCCCATGTCGGACGCAAACAAGGCCACTGTCGCTTGTACTAGGACTTAAATAACGACCTTGTCCTGTAGACCGGGCCCGCACATGCCGCTATTCTTCTTGCCACGCCCTGGCACCGCCCCTGCCTCCGTCTCAGCACGTAAGCGCCGGCCCCTGCGGCCATCGAGAGCCCGATGTCATCCGTGTTCCGTGCCAGGACGTCAGCAGCGTCGGCTAGAGTTCCAATACGAGCCGCGGTCGGGCAGGTGGCGGCCGTGCTGGGCGTGGGGCTGGTGTACCAGGGCTCCAACAACCGGCACATGGCTGAGGTGCTGCTGCGCGAGATGTCCCGGCCACCGGGGCCCGAGATGGAGAACAGCTGCGACCGCGAGGCGTTCGCGCTGGCCGCTGGCCTCGGCCTTGGCCTGGTCACGCTTGATGGCGGCGGTGACCAGCTGGGCCTCACCGCCAGTCTGCACCAGCTCATCTTCGGAGGGAATAAGCCCCCGCTCACCGGTGAGTAGTGACCAGCTGGGCCTCACCGGTGAGTAGTGACCAGCTGGGCCTCACCGCCATCTTTGTCTGCTTCAGTGCTGCACGCTCGCTTTTGCATTAGTCAGGTTCGTGGTGAGAAGCTGTGATCGTTGTGTTATGTACCTGTATTCTGTGTTGTGGCCCTAGGTCCTGGAGATGGTAGTTCGCAGTTTGTCGGCGAGCTCTTTCTCCCGTGTCAGTCGCTTAGAATGGCACGCCGGTCATCCAGTAACACAATGCTCGGTCTGATGCCAGGTCCGCAGAAGGAGAAGTACAAGACTCCCAGCTACCACATCCGGGAGGGGGACACTGTCAACACCGACGTCACGGCCGCCGGCGCCACTCTGGCGCTGGGCCTCATGTACATGGGCTCCGCCAACAGGTCAGAGGTGCTCCCGGGGACGGGGGATACCTGGACATGGGACCTCATGTACATGGGCTCCGCCAACAGGTCAGAGGTGCTCCCGGGGACGGGGGATACCTGGACATGGGACCTCATTTACATGGGCTCCGCCAACAGGTCAGATGTGCTCCCGGGGACGGGGGATACCTAGACACGGGATCTCATGTACATGGGCTCCGCCAACAGGTCAGAGGTGCTCCCGGGGACGGGGGATACCTGGACACCGGGTTTCATGTACATACATGGGCTCTGGCAGCTGGTGAGTCAGGACAGAGGCAGCTAAGGTAGCATGACCGATTAACGCGTGTTGATGCGCTCTTCGTCTGCGTGTGGTTTGCGGCATCAGAGTGGAGCGGCACCTGACCACCGGCCGTTTAGCTGCCGTGTCCCGATGAGACGCCGCTATCTGACGTCACGTCCGCCAGAGCGGTGTCCGACTGGCTGCAGACGCCGGAGACGCTGTACCTGCTGGACCTGGTGCGGCCCGACCTGCTGCAGCTGCGCACGCTGAGCCGCGCGCTCGTCCTGTGGCACGAGGTGCGGCCTAGCCGCCAGTGGGTGGAGCAGCAGCTGCCGCCGCTGGTGCGGCCCGACCACCCGCCGCAGCCCGGCACCGACTGCCAGACGATCCAGTGAGTCGACCGGCCGGCCTGGCCCGGCCCGGCCCGCTCGGCCCGGCTCGCTGGGCTCGAGGCTCACGCGCAACTCGAGGTGTACGTGCGTGTCATGTTTTGACATGGCTCTGAACGTGGTATTGGGAAGAACTCCGGTTTGAAGAATGTGGAATCGCCCAGTTTGTATTGGCATGGCCCTTGGTCTGGACCACGTCTGCGGTGCATGGTGGCCAACACCTTTTCTTGGAAGTCACCGTGCTCAGATTCTGAGTTTTCTGTGCTGTGCTAGCTGCAAACAGTGCCGATGTTTCCTTTCCTGGTGCTTGTATTTAAGTCTGTCTCGTATCGATATGGATCCATTGTGCCGATTTCGTCATTGCCATTGCCATTGTTGTCAGAGATTTTGCTATTGTGTCTGGTAGGCTTTGTGTATCCAGAACAATCGCTACGTGCAATAAATGTCTTCATACTATTGCAAGTAGATATCCTCTAGGGTTGTAGAGGTATACCGCAGTGCTTTGTTTAGCTCCTGCAATCGCCGCTGTTTCCCATTCTCGACATGTCGAGGGACTACAGTTTCTGCACATCTGTAGCCCAGTATTCCATTGAGCTGTGCTGCCACGAGGCCAGCCCACCTGCCACGTGGGTGATTCTCAGTCTGATCCAGTCACTCTCCTCCAGGCAGGTGTACTGTCACGTGACCTCGGGTGCGTGCCTGGCGCTGGGCCTGCGGTACGCGGGCACGGCCGACCCGGACGCGTACCAGGTGCTGCTGCACTACACGCGCGCCTTCATCGCGCACACGACATCGGCCGTGGCCGAGGAGGCCGGCCGGCCCACCGTCGAGAACTGCCTCTGTGTGACGCTCACCGCACTGGCCATGGTGAGAATGCCTCTGCGACGCCCGTCATGCTGGTCATGGTGAGAATGCCTCTGCGACGCCCGTCATACTGGCCATGGTGAGAATGCCTCTGCGACGCCCGTCATACTGGCCATGGTGAGAATCCTCTGCGACGCCCGTCATACTGGCCATGGTGAGAATGCCTCTGCGACGCCCGTCATACTGGCCATGGTGAGAATGCCTCTGCGGCGCCCGTCATACTGGCCATGGTGAGAGCTGATTCCCGCATGACGCTGCACTGACCGTGGTGATGTTTGCTTTTCGTGACGCTGGGTGCACTGGCCACAGTGAAAATTACCGTGTGTCATGCTCACTGCACTGGATATGGTGGGACCTGACAGCGATTCTCGCCGAACTGGCGCTGTTTCGGCTGTGCTGGCGGCTGTTGGTCGGAGCGCCAGCCCGCGCCTGCGCTGGTGGGTGCAGAGGTGGCTGTCTGACCGTAGCGCGTGTCGTGACCGGGCCGTGGCGTCAGGTGATGGCCGGCACGGGCGACCTGGAGGTGATGCGCATCTGCCGGTACCTGCGCTCGCGGGTCGGGCCGCACCACTCCACCGTCAACTACGGCAGCCACATGGCGGTGCACATGTCGCTGGGCCTGCTGTTCCTGGGCGGCGGCCGGCACACGCTCTGCAACAGCCGGCCGGCGGTGGCTGCGCTCATCTGCGCCTTCTTCCCGCGGTACCCGCTGACCAGCTGCGACGGCAGGTACGCTGACGGCGCCGTCCAGTGGCCGTGCCGCTCGCCGTGCCGCTCGCCGGCGGCCGCTCATCGGTCTGCCGCCGGCGGCCGCCCGCCGAGCTCGGTGCGGTGCTGTGTTGAGTGGGCGCTGTTCATGCGTGGCATGACCGGCCACTGTCGTTAGCGCGGCCGATGGTGAGTCGCTGACAGTGCCGTGTAGCGGTCCAGGTGGATGAGCCCGCGCCAGCCAGCCAGCCAGCTGGCTGAGCTTGCGCTGGCCGGACCGGGCCGCCGTCTGGTGTCCGCAGGCCACCTGACCTGGCCGCCTCACTCCCCACCCACAGGTACCACCTGCAGGCGTTCCGGCACCTGTACGTGCTGGCGGCCGAGCCGCGACTGCTCGTGCCGCGTGACCTCGCCTCTGGCCAGCTCACGTACTGCCGCCTGGTGGTGACGCTGCGCACCGCGGACTCGCCAACCGGCCACCAGGTGGCTATGCAGGCGCCCTGCCTACTACCGCAGCTGGACACGGTGCTGGAGATTCGCGTGGACGACGACCGTTTCTGGCCGTTCACCGTCACTTCAGGTGCCGGCGTCCAGCTCCTGGGGTAGGTCTCGCCAAACACCTCCACAGCCACCGGGAAGGTCCCTGGCACTGGAATCAAGTGCGCTTGGTTCCGCCTGTATCTCACGTTTTGACTGGCCTGCAGCCCCTGTGATCACAGTTTGTCGTGTTACGTCCTACTCTGTGGCTGTCAGTCCCTAAAATCGCGGTTTCTGCCCCCTTGTGGCCTACGGAGGATGTTAATATATACGTTCCCATTAATTTTGTAGTGGGCGTCTGTCCCAGATCCCATTTCATTGCCCCCTCGCTGTGTCATGTGCCGTCCTCTTTCTCGCGATTATGTGCCCTTCTACTTATCCAGCGACTGGCAATAACGAGATGCTCTGTGATATATAAAATTGTCAATAATTCATGAGATAACCGTGTCTTATGCGACTTGTGTTGTAACAGTGACAATCTCGAAAGTAGATCTAGTCTGGCTGTTTCCCTGGGCCGCCGCTCACCCTCATCCATACCCAGCCGCCTGTCAACGCCGTCGGGCTCAGTGACCCACTGATCAGCTGATGGTCGTGTGTGTGTCTGGCGGTGAGCGGCTGCAGTCGGGCTCAGTGACCCGCTGATCAGCTGATGGTCGTGTGTCTGACAGTGAGCGGCTGCAGTCGGGCTCAGTGACCCGCTGATCAGCTGATGGTCGTGTGTCCGGCAGTGAGCGGCTGCAGTCGGGCTCACTGACCCGCTGATCAGCTGATGGTCGTGTGTGTGTCCGGCAGTGAGCGGCTGCAGTCGGGCGGCCGTCTGAATGTGAAGCGCAAGGCAGTGGGCGGGCTGCATCAGCAGGAGCTGCGAGCCCAGCTGACGCAGACGCTCGGCGGACCGGGTCAGGCCATCTGGTCCGCCCAGGTCAGCCTCCCGCGCCGGCCGCAGTGTCAGGCGTGGTGCCGGCCGCACTCGGCCAGAGGTTATCGCTGCCGAGATCCGGTGTCAGCGAAGCTGTGTTGGTGGATTACATCGGCATGTGGGTTACCATGGGTGTATAGGAAACCACATGGATTACTGGCCCAGTTGCTACTGTGTTGAGTGGGTGGTTGCCTGGCCAGCTGCGGGCCGTTTGGCCGTCCACGCCTCGCGAGCGGTGCCGTGCCTGTGACCGACGTTCCGTCGCGCCCCGCCGGCAGGCGGAGCTGCTGCTGAGCTCGGTCAGTCCGGCCGAGCAGCGCAGCCTGTGCCGCCACTTCCTGCCGCCGCCGGCCGGCGACGACCGGCTGCCGCTGCAGCTGCAGCTGGCCGCCCTGCTGCAGCTGTGCCTGGCCGGCCAGCAGGCGGAGCTGTTCCTGCCGGCCGTCAGCCTGCTGCTGGCGGCGCGGCGCGGCGTCGGCCTGCGTCCGCTCCGACTGCTGCGTCTGGCGCCGCCCGGCTCCACGCTGCGTCACATCGCCGACACGGCCGAGCTGGGCGTGCAGAGCGCGCTGGCCGACCGGCACACGGGTGCGGCCACGGGGCGCACCGCCCGCTCTGGCTGACGTCCGCCGCCGGACGGTCATCTTCAAAGCGATATGCTTGTGTTATTTGCTCGCGCAACGCAAATGTGACGTCATGCATGTCGCAGTTCGTCGCAGCGCTTGTAGTGGGAGGCGAATCAGTTGGCCAGCCCGGTTCCAGCCAAGGCGGCACACAGTCATGGTGGGCGAGACTCCAGACGGACCTCGTCTCTCTCCCAGCCTTGTGCGCAGCCACGTATCTTGTGATTCCGGGGACAGTCAGGATTGAGGGTCAGAATAGCATTGCAGGGGTAAACGTAAAAAACGCACGCCTCAAAGAAACTTGGAGAGGAAAATCCAATTTTGTGGAGGTTGAAGGACGTGGTGAGGGGGACTGCCGTAGCAGCCGTCTGGTTCGCTAGTCGTGCAGGCGCAGCTTCCGCGAGCGCCATGTTGCTCCGGCGGGCAGCGGCCGGTTCTGACGTGACCTTGTTTCAGAGGTTGGCTCCAGCCTGCTGGCGTACTTGACGGGTCGGTGGGCGGACGTTGGTCCTGACCAGCACCAGCTCTGCTCGTACCTGGGCTTCTTCAACGCGCCCGGGCGGGGCGATCTCTCCCAGCTATCTCAAGGTAAGGCCGCGCAGCATCCGCCCGCAGTCCGGGGTCCGCGGAGCGGGTCCGTTTTGTGCGGGAGACGACCCATGGGGCTGCTTTTCTACCTGGTTCAAACCTTGACGAAGCGGCCTTTCGATGCAGCTTGTCTGACCCGCCGCCGTTGACATTGTGTGTGAGCGGGCCGTCCGGGCGGGACGGGATGCTGGTTGTGCCTGGTCTGGCGGTCCCCGCTCACCGGCCGCTGTCTGCCGCCAGACTGGCTTCGCCGGCCAGAGGTGCTGTTCACGGCTCTCCCGGCCGACGCGATGTCGGCCGCCGAGCGCGTGTCTGTGGCCTGCCTGCTGACCGGGCGGGGCGGCGCCCTCGCGTGACCCGTCTGGTCTCAGTCAGACGGCCCCCAGAGGCCAGCCACCCCGTGCCGGGAGGCTCCTGCCGCGAGAGCGTCAGCCGGCCCCGCCTCCTGTCAGCAGGCTGCCGTCGTTACAGCCGGTATGGGACGGGCATCATTGAGGTTGTCCGTACAATGGCCGGGTCAATAATGACCTTGTATGTCACGCAGCCGTCTGCTGATAATGGTGCCCCGCGTCCAGCCCGACGTGATTCTGGCCGGCTGTGACGGGTCCATTTTGAATGTACGTTCTGGCCGCTGTTGTTCGTCCGCCGATCAATGAAAATATATGTGAGCTCCCGTGCATGCATGCGTTGACAGGACCTTGTAAATGAAGCACCGCCTCAAGATGCCAGTTTGGATGGCTGGCTTGGCCGGAGCGATCGGCCCTGGTCACCTGTAGTCAGTTGGAATCTTTTTGTCAGCTTTGGTGGGAAAATGCAACAACAAACTTCGTACTGGCCGAATCAACCAACGGAAAGGCCAGAGTCCACTGAAGCCGTACATTCGTAGCAGCTCTGAATGGGTACCGGAGGTCGAAACAACTGAGGTGGAGGTCAGGCATATGACGTGGTCATACGCAGGCATATTGGAATTGCAGATATTCAGGCCAAGTTGAATGTTGTTTCGCCGTGCATGCACGCCAGCTCAGCAGCGCGGATATTAATGCTGCTGGCGATCCTCGACGGATGGGCGTCAGAGGGTCTCTCCCCCACCCCCATTGTAAGACACCTTTACCGCGACGCTGCCGTCAAATGCTCACCTGTTCGCATGTACCGACGAACTTTGTTCTGACCGAACCAACCAACCAGAAAGCCAAAGTCCACTGTGGCCACACTTTCCCTATATTTGGCTCCCTGTCATCAGCCTCGGTTCGTGTTCAGACCAGTCGCACTCGGTTGTGTCGCTGGCCTCGGTCCCCAGTCTAGTGCGGCGCGGTCGCACATTTTACCGCACGCCGCGGACGGCGTCCACAACACCCGACCGGCGCCCATGCCGTACAGCCCGGCGCCAGCGCCACTCCTGTCCACGCATGACCGCTGCGTCACGCAGCGGCCGCCAACTCAGGGCGGCGTCGGCGGGCCCGTTGTGTTGGCGGACGGCTGAGAGCGGGCCGGGCCGGCGCCGCGCACTGCCGCCGGATCACCCTCAGCGGGCCACGTCGAGGAGCCGGGGGCCGCGTGCTGGCCCGCCGCCGGCTGACCGGCCGGACCCTGACACAGTGGGACGCTCGACTCCCGCTCTGGCACAGGGCTGGCCGTCTCCTGCTGCGGGCACGGCCGCTGGGCGGCTGGGCTGGGCTGTGGCGGCTCGGCCGGCTCCTCCGGCACGGGTACCGGCAGCACGCCGAAGTGCTCTGACGCAGCCGCTGCCTTGGTGAGCAGCAGGTTGTAGATGGGGTGGACCAGCTTCTGTAAGCGACACGCAGTCTGCTCACGAACAAGTCATCCGGTGAGACAGCAACGGCCGGTCCAACGCAGCTTGCTAATGGCCTTAGCAATGTGACAGCACCAAGCCTTTAGCAGAGTCCCCAGCCATGCGGCCCCTCCCAGCAACGCCAGAGTGACGTGTATGACTGGTCCAACTTCGACATACTGGATGGGCGGCCGGCCGCGGTGGCTCGTCCCATCACACCTCCACACGATGTGCGGGTGGCGCCGGTGCGCTGCGCGGTGCACTGAGCCGCCCCCGGTGGCTCACCAGCTGCACCACCAGCCCCCTCACCAGCTGCACCACCAGTCCCCCTCACCAGCTGCACCACCAGCCCCCCTCACCAGTCGTACCGCCAGCCCCCTCACCAGTTGCACCACCAGCCCCGCTCACCAGCTGCACCACCAGCCCACCCTCTCACCAACTACAACGCCAGCCCCGCTCACCAGCAACACCATCAGCTCCCTCACCAGCTGCACCACCAGCCCCGCTCACCAGCTGGTTGTCCGCGCGGCCGACCGGCCGGGGTACGTGCCGCCGGCCCATGTGGAAGTTCTGGGCGATCGAGAGGCCGCTCAGCGCGTAACACGTGTGGTAGAAGTCACGGTGCCTGAAACACGAGTCACACCATTGTCAAACGCCGTCCCTATGTTGCAACCTATGACGGCAAAGGAAGGTGCGTCACATTTTCTACGCCTCTGAGTATTCGCCATGTGTGACTCCTCCACTTGTGACGTCATATGTTATAACCTCAGGAAAGTCCTGTGCCAATGAAGAACTGGAGGTCTACGTCAGACGAGCCTGGCAGTAACATATCGCCGAACCCACCCGCTGCGATCGGAGCTGTTAAGGACCATAGGAGGTACCTTCACTCGAGGATACTGTATAGGGGCGACGGGCAAACATTGGCTCCTTTCGAAATCGGTGCGATCCAGTGTTGTTCAGCGTGTGGTCAAAATGTATACGATCAGGTTGTTAATGTTAGTATGGTCAAGTTTTGATGCTGGCATGGGCAAGTTTTAGTGTTGATAATGTCAAATTTGCAAGGCCGCCGGAAGAAATCGCTTACACTGGGAACATGTCCCAATCGCGGTAATTTGAGCGAAGGTTGTGAGCTTCCTCAACAGACTCCCTCCCTCTCAGCTTTTGATTTCACATCGCTGCCCCGGTCTAACCCAATACCGCCGGAAGCAGCTGCGCTGAACAGTCCTGGTCAGTCAGTGGAGGGCGGCATGCCGCGCATCAAAATCGAGTACCACCACGACCGGACACGTCAGTTATGTAGTATCATACACAGTATCAGGTATCACATTAGCTCGACCAGAAAGTCGCATGTTACAGCACACATCACCAGATGCGATCACCCACGTCATCTACCTGCTCCTGCCGTCAACATCAGCTGCTGTGGGAGACGGGTAGGGCGGGGGCGGGCGGGAGACAGGGCGGGGGGGGGGGGAAGGAGCGGGAGACGGGTAGGGAGCGGGGGGGGGGGGGGTGGCAACACTCACTTGCCGGGTTTGTCGACAAAGCCGCCATGCGGCTTTTCGCAGCACAGCAGCAGGTAGTGCTGCAGTGCCTCCTGATGAAACATCCAGCGCTCGTCGCTCAGACTGTCCGAGCCTGCCAGCGAACAAACGAGTCACCCCAGCCGCACCGCTGAAGAGACAGGACGAGTCATCCCAACCACGGCGCTGATGGGGCATCCCAGCTGCAGCACTGATGGGGCAGGACGAGTCATCCCAGATACAGCACTGATAGGGCGGGACGAGTCATCCCAGCCACAGTACTGATAGGGCGGGACGAGTCCCTCCCCCCCCCCCCCCCAGCCACAGCGCTGATCGGGCATCCCAGCTACAGCACTGATAGGGCGGGACGAGTCATCCTAGCCACGGTGCTGATGGGACAGGACGAATCACCCCACCTACAGCACGGGTAGGGCGGGACGAGTCATCTCAGCCACAGCGCTGATGGGGCCCGCCCGCCTCACTGCAGGGCCAAACAGGCACACAGTCAATGCCGACAGGCATATAATATACGATCCTGGTATACAGAGGAGGGTTGGGGGGGGGGGGAGGAGGTGACTTAAACGCCGTCAACTTGGCCGTACGGGGGGGGGGGGGGCAGAAGGCTCAGTGCGACTGTGAATTGCTTGTGAGATGGCCCCCATCGGCTTCTAGCTCTACCGAACGACTATTTAATCGACGGTAACCCCGTGTCATGCCGCGTCAAGCAACAGGTTCCGGCGCACCAGTCCGACCCTGACAGCATCGGCCGGCGCACCAGCCCCACCCTGACAGCATCGGCCGGCGTAACAGGGGACGGCAGGCCGGCGCACCAGCCCCACCCTGACGGCATCGGCCGGCGTACCGCGGGTGGCAGGCCGTCTGGGGCTCTCCAGCGAGACCGCTCACCTTCCTTAGCCAGGATGGTATGAATGATGGGAAATACAGCGCCTTGCCAGTACGCGTAGCAGGCGTCCACAAGCTTCTGCGTTCGTCCCGAGAAGCCACCTTCATGCTGCATTTGCCGACTAGAGACCCACCTCTGGAACAGTGAAAGTGCGCATCAACCAGCCATTGACACCGTCCCCATGCGAGTCCCTACCGTATACTGAGGGTTAGCAGTGTATATATATATATATATATATATATATATATATATATATATATATATATATATATATATACATAGACCAGACGACAATACGCCTGGATAATAATGATACGCGATAATATCAATGCATAGTAATACGAACGCGTATGATCAACTGCATGCCAAAAATTATGCTTCAAGCATCGAAAAACAAGCCAAAATGTACAGGCACAATGCATGAGGCCCTAGTCGATCCGTCGCAGCGCCCTGATACAGGCTCTGCCGCCGCAACCGAGTTATGCTTCAAACTTGGGAAATCCTGCAGCCGCAATTCGCTTTCACAGGTGTCGCGGGAGTTAATTTCCTCTGTGTGTCCGTGTTGTCGGCCGTTGCGCGAGCCCAAGGGTGCATTCCAGTGATTCGGATGGCGTAGAATCTACGTGACGTCACGAAGATTCTTCGCCGTTTAGCTCGTCTCGACCGCTCGCTGATGCTGGACAGCATAAACTCTGCCTCGCGTCACGTAGAACCTAGTCAGGACCAGAATATTTTGGGCGTTCTTACGCTCTGAGACGTCTGTGACGCAGAAGTTTCAAGATCTCGGGGCGAGAGAAAACCGTGCGGCACGAAATATGGTGAAACGAATCGTGCGAGCCAATCCTTAAGCCTTCTAAGTTAAGTAATGCAAAAAATTGATTCCAACCTGGTTCTCTCAAGAAGTCAAAATCACCGCACCGCTGTCCAAACTAATGACCCAAACGACTGGTCTAGAATATTACGGCAGATCATACGCTTGTCAAACGATTCAGATAACCTCCATTACGTGACTTACGCGCTCGTTACATGCAGTCCCGCACTTATCGAGTGCATCTTAAATAATTGAAAGAGCCTATCATCATAGAAATACGTCAACTGTATTCCCATACAATTGCATACAGCCATGTTTTGAAACAACGAAAGCTAGTCGTCTTGTCATATCATAAAATGCACGAATATAAAAACACGAATATAAGATGGAAAAACGTGTAGGAGAACCAATGCCTGTAACAATCTAGCCTTAATCTGTGCGCGCCTGCGCACGTGGATGGGTGTGGAATGATGTCAGAATGATGGCCCAATACGCGTGGTAATTCGGTATGCAGCAGCATTGCAGCCCCCCAAGTGTTCTGCCACCCCTATCTCTTTAAGTGGCCCCGTCTTCCTGCAATGAGTGGACGGGTGCACCGACGTGGCGAAGTCGTCGCCAGCTGCAATTCCACCGCCGCCGCGAAAGAGCGAGCGGCGGCGCCAGCCATCCCACCGTCGCTGCAAGGAGCGAGCGACGGCGCCAGCAGTCCCACCGTCGCTGTAAAGGGGCGAGCGGCAGCGCCACCAATCCCACCGTCGCTGTAAGGAGCGAGCGGCAGCGCCAGCAATCCCACCGTCGCTGTAAGGAGCGAGCAACGGCGCCAGCAATCCCACCGTCGCTGTAAGGAGCGAGCGGCGGCGCCAGCAATCCCACCGTCGCTGTAAGGAGCGAGCGGCAGCGCCAGCAATCCCACCGTCGCTGTAAGGAGCGAGCAACGGCGCCAGCAATCCCACCGTCGCTGTAAGGAGCGAGCGGCAGCGCCAGCAATCCCACCGTCGCTGTAAGGAGCGAGCGGCAGCCCCAGCAATCCCACCGTCGCTGTCAGGAGCGAGCAACGGCGCCAGCGATCCCACCGTCGCTGTAAAGAGCGAGCGGCGGCGCCAGCAATCCCATCCTCGCTGCAAAGGAGCGAGCGGCCGCGCCAGCCTTCCTCAATTTTTCCTTCCTTTTTTAAAGGACTTCGTTTTAACGGTGTGGCTCATTGTGAGCCACGTACAAATGACGGATACTTGGAGTGTGACCCGTGCAGTGACCTCACGTTGGGGCGCCATTGAAAGGCCTCAGGTCAAGCGAGACAATGTGAGTCGCGAGGCGCGCTACAGCGACAGGACTTAATGTACAAACCACCTGGGATCGGTGGTTTCTACTAGTGACCAGCGGCTGAGCAGACAACTGCAGCTTTGCTCCCTTCGTTTGACGGTCCACTTTATAGGCACTGTCTTCCGTGTTAAGTGAACTGCCAAAAGTTCTCAAAATCGGTTTCAGCCATTCCACTATTTCGCAGAGGAAAAATATCATGCATCACACTGTTACGCATCACGCCACCGTCGGCGGCATGACGCCCTCTGACCAACAGCGGGTACGTGGCAGCGGGCGCCTCTGGCCAGGTGGAGCACTCACCAACAGGGCGTCCAGGTCGCAGAGGCGCTCCCGGCCCAGCAGTGCCAGGGTGGCCAGGCCGCAGAATGTGTAGCCGCCGTGCGCCTCCAGGCCCGGGGTGCCCGAGAAGCCGCCCTCGTACGTCTGGCAACTGCGGTGACACGGACACGGCACGTGATGCCCACCCGCTGCCACACCGGGATCGCTCAACACAGGTGGGTTCGCCCACTGGCTACCGACGCCGTGGCATGACGTCAGCACATGGCACATATGTGCATTGTAACGCCGACACATCTCTCCACGAAAATGTTGCTATGAATAAAAGTAAAGGGCCACATATCGTATGGAGCATGAAGGCTTACGGGCAGTTTGCTGCATTCCGTGTTTCAGGTCTGCTCCGCACACAATATCTTAAAAATGTCAGAGGCGAGTCTACGAACGACAAAAGCGGATAACTGCAGCACGCAGAGCTCATCCCATGGCCACCAACAGCGCACCGGCCGGTGACGACAGCGGCAATGGGCTACACTCCCCACCACCTCCCTTTTGGATGAAACATGACACAATTTTTATAAAATGTGGTGTTGCACTAAACGCTTACGACACGCATGCAACTTGCTCAGGGAAGGGAAGGCCTGCGCCTTCGTCCAACATCGGTATCGCAACCAAGGGGAGAGCTCATGAGGCTTTAGTCGCCCACACCCCCTGTGAGAAGCTTGGACTGGTCCCCACCAGGTACTCACCGGCTCATTCATAATTGGCGCGTGGCTGGACAAGTAAGGAGTTGCGAGGGTGCAGGATAACGCGAGAAAGGCGGTACAAGGGCGGATAACGCTGACCACGAACTGCGCTCCGCCATAAACAAGACAGTCATTTCGGCAAATGTTCGATATGGATATAAAACTGAGAACCAAAAAACATTAAAAAGCGCAGCAGCCGAAACTGCAGCTACAGCTAATGAAGATGCTATCAGAAAAATGGACAAACCATTCCAAGAAAAGGCCGAAACACGCCCACAACGCTCGTTCGTTGAATGAACACACAAATTAACAACGCCACGTTTTGCAGCGCGCATCAGTACCACAAGCGACCAGCGACTCGTCAAAAACATGCCACAAAAACGTTACATGACGTAATCAAACGATAACGCAATGCAGACCATATTTACTAATGGGTGAAAATGTGTTAAGAGCAGTTTTCACACGTAAAAGCACACCCATTGCTACAAGTGGGCTTTTCCCATCATATCTGATGTTTGCCTCAATATCTACAAATGCAGAACATCCCCCTCACGCGCTTTATCCTTCATTGGCTCACAAGGGGACTTGAGCGTGTGAGGTCATCACTTGTTCCCTGTTAGGTCAGGGATTTAAATCTGCTTCACAGTGTCGCAAGCCGGCCAGCGGCCGTGTACTCGAAGCCACGGCTGGACGTCGGCGCGGCGCCGAGAGTCGCCTACCTCGCCACCCACTCCGCCGTCTTCTCGAACAGCGCGTCGTCGTAGACGTGCGTGAGTCGGGCGACGGCAGCGGCGCAGTAGGCGCCCCGGATGTCCACCTCCCCGCCCAGGTGCATGCAGAACGAGCCGTCCTCGTTTAGGCACTGCAGCAGGAAGCGGCGCAGGCCCACCCTGCGGTCAGAGTGGGCTGCGGTCGGACGGGTGGCCAGAGACGCCACAAGGTCAGCTGGGCTGCACACATCCAGGCCCGGCTCCCGACATGGCGCGGGGGAGTCTGGCACAGCCACCGCACGGCAGCGTTCCAAAATTATGTTGTTGATTGGGAATTTAGGGCGCGCCGACTACTGAGGTCATTTTGGGCCCAACGCGTTCCAAAATTAATCGAGTAGGATGTGCAGGATGTAAAAATAAATTCCTGCGACCAGAACTCTGGCTCTCCGGCGGTCTCCGTACGCGATTCGTTTGGCTAATCCGTTGCCCTTTGACCCCGACCCAGACATCCGACCTACTCAGTCTATTTGTCAAGCCTGAGCCGCATAGATACTGGTTTGACCACCGCCTGGTTCAATGTTGATTGGCCGATTTTGAGCAAAGGGAAGGGCCACAGGCAGTGAATCCAAAGTCGGGGTGTTATAACATGAAAATCATCGACATCCCTGCCACTCAAGTGGTCGAATATTGGAGCACTGCTTCACGTAACACTCAGCGTTAGACTTACCCGCGATCGGCGGGGCCCTCCGACCCCACCCGGAGTCACATACACGCATCATTCCTCCGCAAAAGCGCCACCCCAGACAAGAAAACCTACCCCATGAAGATGGAAACCTAAAAAACGAGCCGGATTCAGCGCGAGAGCAGCGGCCGCGCCCGCCCGCCCACCTGTCGATCAGCCTGTAGGCGGTGCCGGTTCCGAGCACGGCCAGGGCGCTGACGGCGGCGTACGTGGCGGCCAGGTGCGGCAGCTGGCCGGGCCCGCCGCCGAAGCCGCCGGCCGGGTCCTGACACCGTCCCAGCAGGCCGGCCACCTCCGCCGCCCGCTCCGCCGACAGCCGGTGACCCAGCACGTCCAGGGCGTGCAGGATCCAGTAGCAGAGCCACGGTCGGCTGGCGTCCAGACACTGTTCGCCCGGACCGAGGGGATGGTGCTCAGCGGCCTGGCTCGCAAGCGGTAGCAAGATACTAAATAGGGGTGCGGGCTGCTGGCCCCGACACTGGTCAGCCATGTGTGGCGGGTCGTGGTTGTTAGTTCACCGGGCGAAGCAGGCTCGACCGCTGGGGGTGACATCCTCCGTCACTCTTTCCCGACTACATCACCGCCTTTGACAGACTGTTGGCCACGACACTGGTCAGCCATGTGTGGTGGGTCGTGGTTGTTAGTCCACTGGGCGAAGCAGGCCCGACAGCTGAGGGTGACATTCTCCGTCACTCCTTCCCGACTACATCACCGCCTTTGACAGGCTGCTGATCCCAACAATGGTCAGCCATGTGTAGTAGGTCGTGGTTGTCAGTCCACCGGGCCAAGCAAGCCCGACCGCTGAGGATGATATTCTCCGCCACTCTTTCCCGACTACATCACCGCCTTTGACAGGCTGCTCGTACGTGCGACGCAAAGCGCGACGGTCCGCGATGGGGCACGGGATCGCCACCACATTTGGTGTCGTGATCGCATCCTGTCTGTGTTATTGACTTGCTATCTATGGGTGTAAAACGTCACCCTATGAAAAATAGCTTTCACTCCTTTTCTCCTACTTCTATGTGAACTTTTCATTTCCGCATGACATCGTCTACCACACATACTGACCCGACTTTTTCCTTCCACGGGCCTTCCTATAGTGTCATCCAAGCCAAAGATCACTTAAAGCTATCTAGCATAAATAAACAAGGATCCACAAAACCTGGACTCCCATGTCCTGTCCTACCTCACTTACATCCGAATCACGGGAGAATCATCATTATGCCTGAATCACCAAACCAGTATCCAAATTGGAACCTCCGCAATCAACCTGCCCATGGCTCTAAGCTACTAAAGGCAAGCGATGAGTCTCAACTACGCTGAATCAAACCATTTGGAATGACTATGAGTCATGGGCTGAATGGGTCGCAGAATCTGTGCGTCGGTCATAAGCCGGCTAAAAAAATGCGCCAAACACAAGACTGCTTGTCATTTTTCCCCAATAGGGAAGGAGAATTAGGAAATTGTACCACTCCCTAACTTTAGGAGCAAAAAAAATAAAATAAACGCATGCATTCTCCGCTAGGTTCTAAAAAGCCAAACGTTACAATTTGAACACCGATTTTCACAAATTTTAACATACGGTGAGTTGATCAGAGATTTCGGAAGAAAAGCTCTTCGTGTTTGCATTGGGTTATCTACTTTCGTATTTCTTGGCCTAATGCAGAGGTGGTACAAGCCCGTTTCAGTTCCTTTTGCCTGACCTTTAGCGAAACTATCCTTGGCCTCAGAGATCAATTAATGTCGATTCAAATTAAACGACTGCAAACTTTTACACACTTGATAGACGCATTAGATTAGTCTGCTAGCCGCCCAAACGCACTAGATAAACACCAAAGAGTGAAAGTTTATAACAAATAAAGGCACCTAACAAGCCAGGAAGGGCAATTACTTCTATCCAAAATTTCACGCATCAAAACCTCTATGGTGAAGCGTGTATCATTGACGTGGCTCGGCATGAAAAACATAAGCCGCTCCAGCTTCAGTACTTCACCAAGTTAAATTATCCTTCCATACACAGCTTTGTGATAGAAATGGTGCTACTAACACAGGGGAATGTTTGTTCATTTAGCTTTTGCACTGAGCGACTGCAGAAGAGGCAGTATCAGGAGCCCGCCGGTCAACACTGCAGAAGAGATTAGATATGCGCTTTAGATACACCCACCTCATAGTCCCCGCTGAGATAAGATAGCGACCGACACAGAAACTCAATGTGCTGGCTCCTGGCGAGTTTGGGAAGGTCCGGGTCCACCGACGCGCGGTCGAAGAACTTCGCGAGGCATTCCTCCACACTACCCTCGACCCGTTCCTGAAACAAATGCCACAGGTGTCTCGGAAGTCCGAGGCGGCAGCAGCCTTTGGCCTGATGCGCCTGTCAGCTTCAACAGCCTGAGGAAAGTGAGGGGGAGAGGGGGAGGCTGTACCACGGCCTCCCCGAGGCTGTACCACGGCCATGCTTCAACCGAGCCGCCAGCACGATCATGATGGACTGGACGGGTGGACAGATGGGCAGATGAATGGATGGACAGATTGACGGATGGACGGATGGACGGGTGGACAGATGGACAGATGGACGGATGGACGGATGGACAGATGGACGGATGGACAGATGGACGGATGGACAGATGGACGGATGGACAGATGGACAGATGGACGGATGGACACATGGACGCATGGACGCATGGACGCATGGACGGGTGGACGGATGGACTGATGGACACTAGGGCACGGGCGCACGAAGCTGAGCGATGTCGTCTCCTTTACATTCCGGCTGTCCCGCCGCTGGCCCAGCCCTTACAGACAAACAGCGTGCATGCAACACTGAGTATGACTGGGTATATTTAGGGCTGTCACCAAAGGCGACAGCCACGGCGGACGAGGCAATCAGCCCGTAACTGCTCTATTGTTAACACGGCCTAAACTGGTCATGTGTGGGACTTGGCATACAATGTGAAGATAAATAGTGGACTGCAAAGGGTGCAATCAAATCCGGTTTTCACATGGGGATATGTAGCATGCATCACCAAACAGAGATTAGATGCTGAATAAACTTGCAGTAGGCCATCTTGAAACGAGTAAACTGAAGGCCTATTTTAGTTTCCACTGTATGAGCACACTGAGCATCAGACGCTGACAGTTTCACCGCTCATCACCAATGACGTAATAATCCGGCTATCAAGTGAGATTTTAATGTTTCTGGCTCACCTCCAGCCACAGTCAACTTCAAATCAGTTTAACAGGTTTACCTTAAGCAATTGGCCACAGCGTGACTCCACACAGCACAATGGTCATGCAAACTTGGAAACACAAATTACATAAAGCATGTAATCACAAGAATCTGATGTGTTCTGTTTTGCTGCTGAAGCTGACCTGCTGGTGTGAAGTGTCAGTTGGGACGTCCTCGTCATCCAATCGACGCTGCTGGATGTCAAACAAACTCAGGTATCTTGAATTGTCGACCATCGTCCTGCTTACTTACTCGCACCTTCCACTGCTTTCAAACAAGTTTCAACCATTCTACGAGGAACAGCTTGCAATCTTGAAGTCTGCAAGTATGACAAGGCTTCAGTTTGCTTATCAAGGTCTTTCATATAAAATTAAGGGCAAAATCGTGGCAGTGGGAAAGCATTTCAAAGGCAAGATAATGATACGACTTCAGCATGAACCACATCCGGCATATCTCTAGTGTGAACAAGGTGAATCCTTTTCAGCCGAGCCACCACAACACGAAACAAAGGGATTAATCGAGTTTTTTTTACTGAGAACAATTTTGATATCAGCGTCCGCGCCAGGCAACGCTTGCGTGAGCCCACCACTTGATCGTAACATGTCTGGCAAACAGCATTCTGCCGCGAAAGCTGAACGTGCCGCAATGGTGGGCACGGTCACTCACTGGGAACCGTAACCAGGGTCGGTCCCACCCTCTACCGTCACTGAACCACCTTCAGCGCAACCACCGCCACTGGCCGCAAACTATCCCAATGACTTTACAATAGCAAGCGCCAAAAGCGACTCGAGCCCGTCCCGCCAAGAGCGGGTGAATCAGAAGGCAGACGCTCTAACCAGCTGGGCTATCAGGACGGCAAAAACAACGGGCCTTTACGTTTGGCCTTTGTAGTTCAGTTGTGTGTTTTACAGTTTGTTCGGCCAAGTTTGTTGGGAAGACCGAAGGAAGGAGGGGGGGGGGGGGGGGGCAACAGAGGCTTTGGAAATAAATCTATACAAAAACACCTGGGCCCTCCCCTGATAAACACCGGATTTGAGACTCCAAGCCATTGAACAAACACTGGTGTTCTCTACTGATGCATTGCCAAACGTAAGATGGCTTTTCACTCTTTCCCGAGAACCTTTCTATCCCGAAGGAGTCGGAAGACATCGACGTCGTCGGCTCTGACGCACGCTACCTGAATTTGGTACGTCGAGCCAGCAGTCGACAGTCATCGACAATGCCGCCATTCATCGCAATGTGCCAAGCCTGCTCCACCAGCCCGAGCTTGTGTCCACCGCTCGGAACAAACCTCTGACAGACCGACGCGCGTTGGGAGACCGTGTGCACGTCTGGGGTTAAACTGGCCGAGGAGGACGGTCTGAAGCTATACCGGGACATCATCCTGACCAGATTTCAGCACTGGCTGCCGCCGGCTCACAGGATGGCCTACATGTCCCATCCCAAGTACAGAAGGGGTGGCCTGGCCGACGACCAATAGGCCAAGCAGTCGCTGTCACTGGATGATTCTCAGCTCCTCACACCACTGCTGATGTTCCTGATCCAAGATAAGCTGAGGCCAGTGGCGGCGACACCAATTTTTGAACCGGGGGGGGGGGGGGGGGGGCGGCAAGGTCGTAAAACCATAACGAAACTTCAACACAGCAATTGGGTGAGAAATCAGCATTTAATAACTGGCGTTCTCCTAAAAGATCATTGTTATGCAACTTCCTCATGTGCTTTGTGCTGCACCACCGTGAGGCACAGGAGCGCGGGGGTCGGGGAGCAGGGCAGGGACCGAGACCCTTAACTTTCTTAAAATTCAACAATGGCCATGCGGGCGTTGACTTGAAAAAAAAAATAGCCCAAAGGACTATCTCCTCTCCCCTCATAACTTGGAAGAACGTCACATGCTCCAAGCAAGCGGAAATATCTTTTTATGGTATCGTAGCTTCTTCCCAGCACAGCGCACACCGTCACCTACGTCAGTTGGTCACAGCACTGTACACGCTTGACATGTCCAGAATAGTACTTCGCGAGGTGTTATGTCGTGTGTTTTTGCCCGGAGCCACGCTATGACTTGGCCGCCCGATTAAACAAGGTTTTTGCTCGCTTGTCGAGAAATATTAACGCAAAGTAAATTTAATGCTGGCGAAACACTATAACAATACTGGCGGAATACTCACTGAAACTCATTATGCTGTAGGTTATACACCTGACAATACTTAAGAATAATAAAGGCAAATGCACCTGCATCACATCACCAGACACTTTAGCGATATCCTCGCAATCTATGTCCATACCTTAACAAGTTATAGGGTTATAATTTTCAGCCCTTGATCTAAGACTGGCCTCGGCCAGTATAGTGAACTGCTTGGAAAATTCTCCCCGTGCACAAAATGAATACATAAAAGGTGCCGAACTATGGATTAGCTCCGTTCCGTTCCGATGTTTTTGACTCGAACACGGAAACGTTGAGGGAACGGATTTGCGTCCCCCGGCCGAGCTAGGCTCAAAACGTCTCCATCTGAAAACGAAACTGAATCACACCAAAACTGCTGAAAAGATTATTGTTCAAAAATAATATATGTAGACATATACATACATATATATATATATATATATATATATATATATATATATATATATATGTATATATATATATATATACATATATATATATATATATATATATATATATATATATATATATATATATATATATATATATATATATATATATATATATCTATATATCTATATCTATATATATATATAACAAATGAAACTGAAATATGTAGTATTAAATATAGCATAAAGTAATATCATAAAATACATATAACACTAAATATAGTTATAACAGTAAAATCCATCACAACTGTCCATTAAATTACTTAAGTACAATAATGGGTAAACAAAATATGATATAATGATGTTGTCATGCAAGGAATCGATGAACAAAATGTTTTAAAGTGAGCAACAGGGTGACAATGTACGTAATTTGCAGGGCCGTGTCGATTTACGTTCTAAAGCTACCGCACAGACACGACGGTGGATATAATGACCAAGCCACTAAGGTAAAGTATATGGAAATAGCAGTCGTACCTGAAGAATTAACACGCGCTCGGGTGGAGATCAAATTGACCCCCTCCGAAGGTTTTTCCAAAATAGTTTCGGATCGGAGCAGCGCAGCAGCGCCAAATTTTGCATAGCTGTAGGCAGTTTAATAGCGGATTATTTCGTATAAACATGTACATGTACCTTGTAAGATTGCTGACCTATGATAGGTCAAAGTCTGCCATAGGTCCATGACTCATCCACACCAAACTGACTGGATTCATCACGCTTGAGCCATAGCATGTGAGAAACAAGATATTGCTAAACCAGCAGGTGCTTCATCTTCCATTTTCTTCCAAGCAGGGAACAAGTCAGTCGATGACAGAACTCCACTTTAAATTGCCCTTGACATTGTTGACTCCTCATTCCTTCCTATGCATTTTGTGTAACCAGTGCCCCTGGTACAGTGCAGAAGCATCCTGTCCTCTTGAGCAGCCTGCAGCTCAATATTTGGTTCCTTTTTATTCCTCATCATGGGGTGTGACATGATCTTCAACATTCACTATGGTTTGACCAAGTGCACATGTGGTTGTGACAGCCTACCAACATGTCTGTTCATTGCAACTTGTCAGGATGGATTGTGCACTATAATTTAAGCAGCTGTACAACCCAGCAAGCATATTATCTCCTAGAATTCCTGGAATACTCACAACTGCTTGAGGCCCCATGGTCTATGAACCACAAAAAAGCCTGCCGGTCCAGCATAATAAAAGCTCACAGAAGTGACAATGAACATGAAGCCTTCTTGTCTTATATGTACCACTGCTATCACCCTTAGTCCAGTTTTTGATGCAAAACCAGGTCATCCAATTAGCTCAACCAGCATCCAACTCCAAAGGAATACTCAACAAAACTTGGTCTGATGGGTACATTACATACCAACTTTGAAGCCCCTTTTCATGGTCATCTGGAAGGCACACAGTTGTTGTACACCTTGCAACACGTTTCCTTAAGCTTCTTAAATGCCTGTTGTTAGCTATTATTGCAAGATAAATGAGCCTTGCCTTAAAGGTATGTAAGGGTGGTGCCATACTGGTTCTGGAGATCAGGAACAGGTCAAGGTAACATTTACAGAAGCTTGTGTGTGTGACTGGGGCTTTACAATGCACTCAGCTGCTGAGGCTATATGGCGTCACCCACCTCTCACCCTGGCAGGGAGGGCGGGCACCGCAGGGAATCGAACCCCGTACCTCTGGTTTCCCAGACGCGCAGCAGCCAACGCGGACGCGCTAACCACTACACCACCAGCACCCCATTTACAGAAGCTTAAACATGGACAAACCTACTTCATTAGTTTAAGGTGAGGCCAACTTCTGATCCATATCACCTAGCCAAGGTCCTGCTCAAGTCTGCAGGCTGGTATCGGTTGGCAAAAACACCTCACAGGATACCGACATCAGGCTACCTCAGAACCCCTCACTGCCTGCCCTGCTTAAGTTCCTGGAATATTGCTTGCAACAGCAATAAGTGTTTAGATGCAATCTGATCTTCCATACAGGCATGTTCAGGAACCCTGTCACTTGATTTCTACCATTCAGTTACCTGGTAATATGCAAACTGAGGACTCCTGCTTGACTCTGGTGCAGTCAAATTCAACACAATTTGAAAAGTAATCTGACTTAAATAAACTTTGAAATTACCCCACTCATCAAGTGACCCAAGAGTTACACAGTCAAAATATGATATATACCATTGCATGCACATAAAAACTTGTGAGGCACCTGCTCAGCTGATAGGGATCCACAGGTGGGTTTGAGACACTGGAGACTCAAGCCCCACCAATTTTGTACTTTTGAAAGCAGATTGGTCTGTCTCGTTACCTTGGAGTTGTCCGTGCTCATTATAATGTTCCCTCTCTGCATAAATGTCCACATAAGCATTTTGCAGCAAAAGATTATTTCATGGATTCTGCTTGTCCGTGAGCATGTGGTCCAAAATACATGCCCTTAAGACGCTTAAAATACCTAAATTCATTTCACAACATTTTCTGTTCAACACTGGTTTGCACGATGGCCGTCCCTATCATCTGATGCGGGCAAATAGCTGTTTGCAGCGGGTGAGCTTTTCAGTACCGCCGGTGGCCTTCGCACCTCCTAAATAACCAAACTAGCCATAAAATACATATCAAATTGGTATCAGTGGATGCAAAAGACATTTCTGAACGCTTCTAGCACTTTCATTTGTCAACATGTGGGGTTCAATGACACTAAATAGCGTTTTAGCTCACGCACGCCCCCTCCCTGTCCGAAATACTAATTCATTAATATGTGATGCCGCACAAGGGAGGTAGAACTGTCCGGCGATTTTTGCCTCACCTTTTCGTAACATAGACACGACGTCACTGGTGTTAAAATTCGATGCACAACAGGCCGCTCGACGCCGGACCTAAAATGTAATGACATGAAAGGCGAAGAAGTTCACACAAGACGTATGCTGATGAGCAGAAGTGCAGGCAGGGTGGGGCAAAGAAGCCACGTGCCCCCTCCCTTAGGCGGCTTTTTTTTACTTGGGTACCTGTATTGCCGACGGTGGGGAGAGAGCTACGCTGGCTGCAGGGTTCCTGCACTGCCATGATGGAGAAATGCTGTTAGGTATCAGCCGACGTAGTGACGTCACTGAAAATGGGTTTGCATCGATCTGGGTTCTTTTGGGCCGACTGAAGGCTACAAGGCTTTTGCTAGCGATATGATGTCACTGGTATTCGACTGGATATGTGACGTCACTGGTTGTGAGGCTTTAGGGCTCTTTTGGGTGCAATGAATGCCGTAAAACATCACCTGACGATATGTCGTCGCTGGTATTCAATGAAACATCAGGCGCAACGGGCCTTATTCCATCTTTACCTTTCGTACCTGTCTGCTGCAAGCATTTGCGTGCCGAATAAAAGCTTGACCGAATCACCTGAATGTGTGACGTCACCAATCACCACTTGATACGAGTGCACTTAGGCCCCACGGCCACGGTGTATCATGTTCCGTGAAATATCACTGGGTATCGTGACGTCAGTGATATTCGACTAAATATTGGTCGCAACAGGTCAAGGTTCATTTTTAGCTTCGTACCTGTCTACTGCAAGCACTGGCGTGATGAATAAAAGCTACCAAATCACGTGAGTGTGTGACGTCACTGGTCATGCATTTTTATGGATCTTTGGGGGCCAACTGAGGGCCGTAAAGCATAGCCTAATGATGTGACGTCACTGGCATTCGACTGCGTGTGATGTCACTTGCGATCAGATTTTACGGCCTCTTTTGGGCCGACGAAAGGTCATACTACATTAACTGAAGATGTGCCGTCACTGGTATCCGAATACAATTCAGGCGGCCATGGCCATGCTCCATCTTTACCTTTGGTACCTGTCCATTGCAAGTATTTGAATGCTGAAGGAAGGGTCTGCCGAATTACCTGAGTGTGTAACGTCACTAACCATTAATTTGTATACTGTTTTGAACCCACTGTAAGCCATACCACATCAGCTGACCATATGACGTCACCGGTTCTCGTCTAGGTGTCATGCGCAACAGGCCATGCTCTATCTTTGCCTTTCGTACCTGTTTACTGCAAGCATTCGCGTGCTATATCAAGGTGATGCTGAACCATCTGCGTGCGTGACGTCACTGGTCATGAGTTTATACAGGTTCACTTGGGCAGCCCAATGCAACAAAGCATCATATCCTGTAAAGCATCGCGGGATGATATGACGTCACTGGTATTCGACTCAACATCAGGCGCAACAGGCCATGTTCCATCTTTACCTTTCGTACCTGTCTACTGCAAGCATTCGCGTGTTATATCACGTCATTGGTTAAGAGTTCTTACGGGCTCTTTTCAACCCCCTATATGGTATAATGCTTCAGTTGACGATATGATGTCACTGGTGTTCGACTTAGCATCAGGCGCAACATGTCATGTTCCATCTTTGCCTTTCGCACCTGTCAAAGTATTGGCGAGCCTAATGATGGCTCTGCCGAATCACCTGAGTGCGTCATCATGAGTTTTTACAGGCTATTGTTGGCCGGGAAAGCCATTAGGCATCATCTAACGATATGTCGTCACTGGTAATCCACTAAGTGCGTGACGCCATTGGTCATGAGTTTTCCCGCGCCTTTTTGGGCCGACTTAAGGCCATTAGGCATCAGGTAACGATATGACGTCACTGGTATTCAATTAAGCATCAGATACAATATGTCATGTTTCATCTTTACCTTCCGCACCTATCTACTGCAAGTATTCGCGCGCCACATAAAGGCTCTGCCCAATCACCTGAGCGTGTGGTGTGACTGGTTATGAGTTTACGCGGGCTTACTCGGGCTGACTGAAGGACATCAAGCATCATCTGGCGATGTGACGTCACTGGTATTCAACTTAACACCAGGCGCGACAGGCCATGTTCGTCTTTACCTTTCGTACCTGTCTATTGTAAGCATTGACATGCTTAAGGAAAACTCTGTGAAATCTCCTGAGTGTGTAATGTCATTGGCCATGAGTTCTTTACGGGCTGCTTTTTTGTACCTATAGGGTACAAGACATCAGTTGACGATATGACATCACTGGTATATGACTTAATCTCAGGCGCAACAGGTCATGTTCCATCTTTGCCTTTCGCACCTCTATACTGCAAGTATTCGCGCGCTACATAAAGGCTCTGCCGAATCACCTGAGCATGTGGTGTAACTGGTCATGAGTTTGCGCGGGCTTACTCGGGCTGACTGGAGGACATCAAGCATCACCTGACCATATGACGTCACTCATATTCGGGCTGTGGCCCAGACTTATGGCCGCTAGGCGGCGCCCTTGATTATTATTTAGCCATCAGGGCATTCCGGACCGTAGCTGCTCAGGGGCGCATCCTGTGATGTCGGGCGGAATAGCTTTGCATATACGTCGGTTTGTGGGCTGGGATCACCTTTGTTTTGTGTTTACGTTTGTTCAAAATTTTAGTCGTTGAAACAGCCCGTTGCGTTTGAAGTTGTTACTTAATGGTGCGCACAATAAAATTAGTGTGCTTAACTATGGTGCATCTCCCACCCTCTGCTGCGGAACTCCGTAGCCGTAGGTGGCCAAGCGACCTCCTACCAACTGATGATCAGTGACGTCACATACTCAGGTGATTCGGCGGAGCCTTCATATAGCACGCGAATATTTGCAGCAGCCAGGTACGAAAGGCAAATATGGAGCATGACCTGTTGCGCCTGATGTTTAGTCGAGCACCAGTAACGTCATGTCGTCAGCTGATGCATTATAACCTAAAATGGGTTCAAAGGAGCCCGTAAAAAACTCGTGACCAGTGACGTCACACACTCAGGAGATTCGACGGAGCCTTCATTCAGCACATCAATACCTTTAATAAACAAGTACAAAAGGTAAAGAAAGTACGTGGCATGTTGGACCTGATGTTAAGTCGAATAACAGTGACGACATATCATCCTGTGATGCTTCACGGGAGGTGTTGCTTTGTGGCCTTGGGCGGCCCAAGTGAATCCGTATGAACTCATGACCAGCGACGTCACCCACTCAGATGATTCGTCTGGAGTTTAGTCGATTACCAGTGACGTCATATCGTCAGCTGATGCTTGATGTCCGTCAGTCAGCCCGAGTAAACCTGCACAAACTCATGGCCAGTTACACCACACGCTCAGGCGAATCGACAGGGCCTTTTTGTAGCGCACGAATACTTGCAGTAGGCAGGTGCGAAAGGTAAAGATGAAACATGGCTTATTGCAACTGATGTTAATTCGAATACAAGTGACGCCATAACGTTATCTGATGCCTAATGACCTGAACTCGGCCAAAAAAGGCCCGTAAAAGCTCATGACCAGTGACGTCACACACTCAGTGGATTACCAGTAACGTCATTTCGTTAGCTGATGCCTTATGGCTTTCGCTCAGCCAAAAATAGTTGGTAAAAATTCATGACCAGTGACGTCGCACACTCAGGTGACTCGGCAGAGCCGTCATTTAACGCACCAATACTTTATAGGTACGAAAGGCAAAGATGGAACATGACCTGTTACGCCTCATGTTAAGTCGAACACCATTGACATCATGTCGTCAACTGATGCATTTTTCCCTATAGAGGGTTCCAAGGAGCCAGAAAAAACTCATGACCAGTAACGTTACACACCCAGGAGACTCGACAGAGCCTTCATTCAGCACGTCAATACTTGTAATAGACGGGTACGAAAGGTAAAGATAGAACATGGCCTGTCGCGCCTGATGTTAAGTCGGACACCAGTGACGTCATATCATCAGCTGATGCATTATACCGTTTGGGGGTGCAAAAGGTCCCGTAAAAAGCTCTTGACCAGTGACGTTACTTACTCAGGAGACTCGACAGAGCCTTCATTCAGCACGCCCATACTTCCAAGAGACAGGTACGAAAGGTAAAGATGGAACATGGCCTGTCGCGCCTGAAGTTTAGTCGAATACCAGTGACGTCATATCGTCAGCTGATGCCTGATGTCCTTCAGTCAGCCAGAGTAAACCCGCGTTAACTCATAACTAGTTACACCACACGCTCAGGTAATTCGGCAGAGCCCCTGTGTCGCGCGAATACTTGCAGTAGATAGGTGCGAAAGGTACAGACGAAACATGGCTTAGATGGAGCATGGCCTGTTGCGCATGATGTCTAGTCGAAACCCAGTGACATCATATCGTCAGCTGATGCCTTGTGGCCTATAGTAGGCTCAAAAGAGTGTGCAAATTAATGGTCAGTGACGTACACACTCAGGTAATTTGGCAGAGCCTTCCACGGCAATGCTTGCAATGGACAGGTACCAAAGATAAAGGTGGAACATGGTCTGTCGCGCCCGAAGTTCATTCGAATACCAGTGACGTCACATCTTCAGTCATTGCCGTATGACCTTTCGTCGCCCCAAAAGAGGCCGTAAAACCTCATGACCAGCGACACGCACAGTCGAGTGCCAGCGACGTCACATCGTTAGCTGATGCTTTATGGTCTTCAGTTGGCCGCACAAAAAATCCGCCAATACTTGCAGCAGACATGTACGAAAGGTATAAATGGAGCATGACCTGTTGCCTGATGTTCAGCCAAATACCAGTGACGTCATATCGCCAGCTGATGCCTAACGGCATTTCGTCGGTCCTATTGGGCCCGTGGAAACCCACGGCCATTGACGTCTTACAGTCGTATAGCAGTGACGTCGTTAGCTGACACCTTGTGGCCTTCAGTTGGCCGAAAAGCACCGTTGGAGCTCATGGCCAGTGATGTCACACACTCAGGTGGTTCG